TATGAAGGCGCGATTTACATTGAGTTTGTAGGTGTTCGGTTATAAAAGGGTTGTAAGTGTAATTATTTCTTCTACAAACGTTGGTTTTTCAAAAGCTATCCATTTTTTATTCTATTAATCTACTTATCCCCTATTTATAAAATGCCTCTAAATTTATATTTTCTGGCCAGACAAGCGAGCCTCCGACTCTTGAGTGCCACTTTGGTGCCAGAATGTTGGGATACGCTTCTTGGAATGTCAGCACTTGTAATACGTCTGCCGTGAACAGTCGAGTATGCGGAGCCTCAAAGGCGCCCTTCATCAATACTTAAATTCCACCCTATGGAATAGATTTAAGTAACCTTTTTTAGCAAAAAATTAAAAGGTTTTAACACCAATTCATTTTTTGTTTTATTGCTCGATTGTGAAGATTATACTGTCTAAAGTCAGAAATTCCGCTAGTAGCAGACAATAGTGAGCCTTTGTGTCAACCATAAAACAAAGCTTTGCAATCTCTTGCATCAGTGCTACCACATTGTCTACCGAACCCGTTGACCAATCACCATGGTGATACCAATCAAAGTGGGAAGGTATAATATCTTTCAGTGGGTCTTTTGAAAGCAACGAAAACACTTGTTCAACAGACGAGGCAGCTACGGAATTTTACTTTATTGGCTTGACGTCTGAATTGGAGTATCAAGGGGCGAATGGAGGGGTTCTGGTGGCTGCGCAATTGACGTCTTTTCTTTGAAGAAACCAACCGTTTTCGAGGATTAATTGCCCCATAATTATGCGGAAGTGGTTGAGTGATTGTCAGTAAATCACTTAATTTTCCTTTTTTTAGGAAATGTACCTCGGGTCTAACCAATAGATGTGATAGCGCCTCGGATGTCACTTACGCTTCCTATGCTAATGCTTTAGGTTGACTGAGTTTCAGTTGAGATTCAGTGACTTTTGGCATTTGACAGACATGACGACCGTATTGCGCCTTTTACACATAATGGGGAAGAAGGTGCACGAAAAACGCCTCTAGTAAACCAGATAAAATTAAAGGCACATTTGCTCATTTGGAGATGAATAACCTTCCCCCTAGGAGTAGAAAAATTTTGTGGAAAAAGAAGATATTCTATGCGTCATAACTACTTTTCAGTCTCTAACACACCAATAGCCATCGAGTATGAGATATGACCGGTTATTATCTGCTATTTTAAACATCCGCTGCATTTAGGCAGGAGTTTCTTAGTTAAAAATGTTGTTATTTTTAGGGTCGTTTGGGTGTGCCTTCTGAAAGGATAACAAGTTCACCTGCTAATTAAGGAATGTATAACCACACAGAATTTCTGCATTCTGATTGGCCTCAGGTTAAAGTCGCTTGAGCCTAATTTGTGATGGCCAGGAATTTGGCTGGTGGGGAAAATTACTGCTGGTAAATAGTCCCCCTCAAAGTCAGTGAATACGTTTTTACTAATACCCAAGGTCTACTTATGCATTACTTTTGTGGATGTGGTAATAGCACCACATCACGCCACATCCAAACTGAATGGCACTCTGACAGCAGACTGCCCTCTGCCAATTGCCAACATTGGACATCATTTGCGTAATTGACGAAAGCGACCAGTTGATCGCCGATACGCACAGTATCGAGTGACGAAAATTTGCGTGTGCGTGAGGAATTTAGCAATTTTAAGATCTCGAGATGTCACAAATGCGTGTCACGACAAGTGTTGTTGTGTCAGGACAATTCTTGGGTTTTGCATCTGTAAAATGCCACTTTTAATGCTTTCAGGTTACCACGGTGGCAATCACACCCCACCGCAAAAGACTGGCTCAAAGTGACGAGGGTACTACCACCACTGTTCATTAATTAATGTGCTCACTGAAGTGGCGCTGCAGCAACACAATTGTGCCGGTACTAGGTTTGCTTTGCCACATCTCCAACTGCCTATCAATGAAATTGTTGTGTCACTCGTTGTGCTTGAATAGTTTTATCCGGTGCATAAATACTATGAGGGGCTGTTCACCAGGTACTCCATTCTCCTTCCATATCCCATATGTCTCTTTTTATTTGCCTCAACGCCAAACAACAACATGGGGCAGAGTATGGCACAGCAGAATAGAGCTAGGTAGAGGAGGGGAAAACAGCGTCTAGAATATACCATTGATTCATTCAATTCAAGCAGACGATGGATGCAAACTCAGGATCACTAAGGTTTTCTGCCATGGCTATCAGAGGAACGCGTTACAGATCGGCATTGCCCTTCTGAAGATATGAGAACATTTCATGTGGAAGCTGATTGTGTTAACTATTGCGCAGGCCCTACTAGAGCATTAATGCAAGAAATTCAAGCAGCCGACTCCAATAAATCATCACACAAAATGGATTTACGCGCTCATAAAAGCCACATTAATGCGTGTCAATAAAGCCTCCCCCATAGTGAGAACTTTACCATTCAGTCTTTGAGAAATGCAACCTTAGCATCAATAAAAGTAGGAAGAGCTTGTGATTAACACCTCCAAAGTTGGCGGCTTAAATAATAAGAGCAGACGAATGATCGGAGGGGATTCGACAAACACGAGTTGAGTTTGTGCTGAAAACACATAAACTTGAGGAAGTAATAACATCAAAAGGCCTTTTTCGTGGACCACGACCCACAGTCTACAAATTAAAGGACTTTCCCGTCCACTTGTATTTCATGTGAGCGCTCCACCCATTCGTGCATTCCCTCATCCATCTGAAACGAGAACAGCGAGTTTACCAGCTTTCATTGCATGATTGCTCCACTATCATTGCCTCGCGTCTGTGACGAACGAAATGCAAAGCATTCACAACCGGTTATCCTCCGGACCTAATCAACATATATCGGTTTTCTGCAGTTCCCCAAGTGACGCCATCACCCACTTCCCAATTGACATCACAATACCTTTGCACTCCCAATTAATAGACAGGGCTCTTTTGTCCCCCAACTCAAAGAATTTGTTTTAGATAAGTTGGGACGGATCTAGGCAGATTCGGGTTGACTTGGACACAAATAGCCGTTAATGCTTGCTTAGTGTCCGAGTGGATGCACTTTTCGCGTAGCCCAACCTGATTGGCTGAGCATGCGACGAGGCACATGGTGGAGATGTGCAAGGAGAGTCGATTAACCAATTAGCGTGTTAAGGCACCAATGACGCATCACCAGTGCGCACGTGTGCGATGCACGAATTAGTTGATTGGCTAACAATGGTTTACTTTAAAATGGCTAAATGTCCTGATGTCATGTCAAATAAATAGTTATAAAAATCGAAAACAAGTGTTTTTTTTTTAAGGCTGACATTTAAAATGATTTATTTTTACTAGTGTTGGATCTACTTTTTAATGTATCATAAGTTAAGCAATATTTTTACCTCTTATTTTTTAATTTAAAATTAACTGAAATAGCTATTTAAATGCAAGTGAATTTTACCCATTAAACTTAATTATTGGTTTAAATGGGTTTTTTGTTCACCCACCCTTCCTTGGAAGACTTATATCGGCCATAAAATTTTATAACCTTCTGAATAGCTCAAGTCATTAACATCAGGATCACTCATATGCTACTTTTTAAATATGTTAACAAGGAGACGCCACTAAATCATCTTCCATTTAGAGGCTCTTGTGGCTGGGTAGACGCTAGCCTTATAGACAACTCGTAGAGATTTGGAAGTTAAGTGTATATTTTGCCCATTTGAGTTCTTGCACTCTTGGAAGCTTTCTAAATGTATTGAGATGATTAAAATGGGAGTTTACGCACTCTCAGACATTCCGGTTACTATATATGATTGTTTTTAAAGGCAAAATTGGATGGAACTATTAGCTTCAATTTAAGACCCCAAATGAATTATTTTGCCACAAATGTATTGATTTCCTCAACAATATTTTCCTTTTTTTTACGACTCATCTGCCAGTAATGCCGCATTTCGAATAGGGTGGACTGAATTGGGTAGCATTTACCTTTGACGGTTCAAATAGCATGAGAGGTGTGTACGGGAATCGCTCAACCAATCTTCGTGCTAATCCCCTAGCCACGAATACCTAAACGACATCTCCCCTGATGTCCTAGCGACATGCACAACTCTTGATAACTGAACTTAGTTTAATAGTGGGACAGGGCATTAGGCTGTAATGCCTCAGATTTTTAGCTAAAACTTTTCTGACACTGTAGTGAGTTTAGTGATTATCTCCTCTACCTCTGGCCTCAAACACTTAAAATGAGACAGTTAAGCAGAGGTGGAGGCCTTTTATTTGATTAACTTGGAAAAAGTTTGCAGATTAACAAAATGTATAGCGGATCAGAATTTGTTTTCGCCTCGGGGGCCGGTGACGTCCACCCATTCACGAGGCTGGTGCATAGTGAATGATTGTCACCAAGGTTATTTGGGACAATTTTCCAGGAAGTAATCGATTAATTCATGCTTAAATTACGCCCACTTGATATAGTAGTGGTAGTAGTTTTCTGGGGAGAGATTTTCCAATTAAGAAAAGTATAAACAAAAGCCATTTTAAAGTCTTTTTTCAATGTAAAGTCGGAATTGGTCTTTTAATTTGATAACACTTTTTAAGGCCGTTTTCGCTCATGTTGACTATAACAGTAAAACGTCGAGGTCAATGCGATCTTAGTATTTGTGGCATTTTTGTTGGCAATCCTACCAACGGCGTCCCATGAAGTTCATTTTAAGTGATTCGCATTAATGGAGCTAGAAAGACAAACATGATATTGGAAACCTTCAAAGACTAATTTCCGGATCGTGCCAGTTTTGTGACGACGGAATAAATCTTATCAACAAAGTGGCGCAAGAACCCTTTAATAAAGCCTTTCACAACTGACAACTTCGTGTTAAAGAATGAGTAAATTTATCGCCTTCTCCATCCCAATGCGAAAACATAAAAACCGTCTAGGTCAGGGAGAAGCCATAAAAATTCAATCCAGCGACCCACACGCGCGCGACCATCCAATATCGATCCAATGGGACGCGAGGTCGCTATGGACCAATGGGGAAGCAGCTGGTGTGAGCAGAAAAAGGCACGTCCAACGAACAGATGGTTGGTCGCCCTAGATTGCCTGCTTGCTTGTCTGCTCGCTTACTTACTCGATGATTGGGTAGAAACGGAAGAGGGGAAAGGCGAGACGACTAAGGAGCAGAGAGGGCAGAAATACACACTCAGTACTCGCACTCAACTATCAATGATGAACTTTACGGAGGTTTTGAAGAAGATCCCAACGCCGCAAATTAATCTACCCAACGTGCAGCTGCCCACATTTGGGAAGGATGCCAATAATGGGAAGGCACCGTTGAATATGACCAAGGTGAGCTTTCAATTTAAGTGCCTTTTTAAACGGAAATAGTTAATTTACTTGCGTGATTGTTGATTTTATGTACTGAAATCGGTGTTAGGCCACACGCGAAGGCATTTTATGTAAACTAGTAGATTTAAATTAATAAACTTTAAACCGTGGAACGTGAGATTTTAATACTAATTTAAAATCCAACCTTTTGGAATAAAGAATTTCATATTAGGGAAGGAGGAATAATAATGCCACTAGAATATATGTGCGTGCTTCAACTGCCTGTTAGAAAAAGGGTGAGACGCAGTGGTGATTGATGTCTGTGCGTGTGTGTGTGTGGGTCATGCAACTATTGCGATTTGACAAGTCTACCGCTCTTGTCGTTTGCAATTAGCGTTTCCCCTCCGGAGCAAAGATTATTGCACAACGTGGAAACCAATTTAAGCAAAGGGAATGGGAGACAGTTCGATTAGACCGTGGTGAATTTTCCAAAGCCGTAGTGTCCCCTGGTTTTGTAATTTTGTAGGAGTTAAGGTACTCTCAATAGATCTACTCATTTTTGCATTCGCTTTGGAGTTATTGAAGACGAGGAACGGAGGGGGGAGGGGAATCGGTCTACCACTCTTCTATGACAAGGAGTTAAGCATTAAAAGTGACACTGCTGTGAAGGCGATGGTGATAACGATGCCTAACTCTTGCCATAGGAGAGGGGCAGAGTTCCGTCGCATGCAGGTATTCCAGCCATGGGGTGTGTGTGTATGTGCCGGAAGAATATTTTGACCTTCGTCGACGTGTGTCCAACATGCCTATTAAACGGTCAAAAATGTCATACAGACCTCTCGGGATGTCCGATAGGCTACAGCCACAACCTTGTGGAAGGAAGATGGAACCCTGCAACCAATTTGTGAAAAGGAAAAATTAATATTTTTTGGAGAAAAAACACTAGGATGGGTGAGTGCTGTGGTTGCAGCCTCAAAATCCGTAGGCAGCCGTCAACCTGACTCAAACGAGAGATTCCATAGATAACCACTGCGTTAGTTTCTTAGTGATAATGAGCGATTAAAGCATCTCCCTGGAAGATTATACATTTTTAGGTCATAGATTTCTTGAAAAACTTTTTTAGTTCATTTTGGCCACAAATAATGTTTGGGAACTGTTTACAGGAGGACATGGAGCAACTGATAACGACAATACAGCACACGACTCTGGCTACCGAGGATGGGGCTTTCGTTGCATTGTGGATTTTAACTCTGTAAGATATTCTTTTTTGAAAAATGAGCATAATTTTTTTCTGAGAATTCATTTAATTGCCTTCATGATTATTTAGTGATTGATCGTATTGGAGAAAATTTTGACATTTCTCAGATTCTCTAAAAGTGTCAAATACGTCACAAAGAATTAGTAGCAGATTACAGAGAAACGAACTCGATTTGAAGGGAAGAACAGAGTGGCAAAACAATACAAAGATTGGAATGTGGTGTCCCGCTTTCTTTTAACTAAGCCTGCCACCTTCAGGGTGGGTAGTCACTCCTCCCCTCTCTCCTCGAATTTATACACTAATGGATTCTAAAATGTTAATATTCTTAAAATGACTATTTTTTGCAAATTCCTGAAACAAAGGAAATGATCCTGATTTGACGTTCTTTGTCATTTATTGCAAGCCGTCCTCAATTTTACTTCTCATAAAACAAACCGATCTGAAAATCTTGAGATGCTGTGACCTGAAAGAACGTAGATCCAAGACCTTAGCAGAAGACCTCTAAGTTAAAATTGTTTAAAAATAAGTCCCTCTCCGGAGATTCAAGCAAATTACTTTTTATCGCTCAAATAAGTGGGTGCAGGTGAAGTATTTTGGCATAATAAATGCACCTCCAGTTTCATTTTGGCTGCTCCAATCAATTCAATTCAATTTAGTACGGAAAAGAAGCAAATAAAAATCCAGACAACCTTGAAGAAAATGGTTAACTAAACAAACAAGTAGACAAGTGTGAAAACAAAACGGAGGATTTTCCGTGTGAGGTGATACGCGTTATGTAGTCGGCTGGTGTTTGAATAGTACCGGAAAAAAAACAATAGGTCATTTAGGAGGAAAAGTAGTTCAGTTCAAAGGATGATTTCCATGTAGTAATCCTCCTTTGCAGTAAGATTTTCCAACTCTGCGCGGTCATTTATCAGCAGTTGCTTATAAAACTTAAAGCTGACAGCTCCAGCGCACATACTCAGATTTCGTGCAATCAGCTCACTTGTCAGTACCCTGTTTTCAAGAGTTATATAGTCTATGTTACTCGTGGTCATGGCTTTGGTCGGGTAGACATCCACAATGCTCGGCGATTTGATGACGATGAATTTGTTCTTATGATATACCCATTTTTCCTCCATAACACCGTTCCATCCCCTTCGACGGTAGAAGTTCCCCAGTTGTCTCTCCACTGCAAACCAAACTACGTGGCCACTCCACACGTCAAATGGGAGTGAAGTGTGAAGTCTTATGAACCAACAAGAAGCAATTATCATATAAATTGACGATGTTTTCTTACATCGGTGTATTTAAGGCCATGTGTCATTCTCGAGAATTTAACGAGGTTATTTAGCATTGGTGGATTGATGACCGTTTCCTGTAAAGACAACTTTTCCTATTCGCAGGATTTACAACATAATATCAAATATTTTGGTGTTTTAATTATTGCAAATGATTTCGCGCACTTTTTTTTTAAAGTCTCCAAAAATAGAAATTGGGTTTTGCTTTAAAATATTTATGTACAGGAAGATTTTCTTTCCTATTCAAATGGTAAAAAGTGCTACATCGATAGTTTTTTTCATTCACTGGCATTGCTTAGCAACAAAACTACCAAAGCAGGTAAAATGACCCAGTGAAATGGCTGTTTTGTTCAAAAGAAGGGAAAAAATAGATTTTTAATTGGGAGGTCAATTCCTTTCATTAACCAGCCAGCGGGCTAATCGACGCCAGCCGTGATCACGTGAAATGACATTCGTCTAATGACACTGAGTTGACGTTAGTCGATTGTCAAGCCGTTTTCGGGTGGAATTTGCTAGAAAGTGATGTTTTAACTCAGACAGCACATCGAGAATACGCCAATCGAACGATGCGCCACGCCTTACTGTGTTCTCTACTCCCCACCTACAATTTGAAACTTCTTTTTATGAAGTGTCACTTGAACTTGATGGATGGGATTTGGAGTTGTATGCTTGACGAATTGAGCTTAACTTGGTTGCATGGCCATTGAAAAGGTGGGGTATAAGAAATTACCGCCTGAAGACGGTGATGAGGCACCAAATGTTGAGAAATCCCATTGCAAAAGGTCCTCTACTCTTGATGATTCAGAGTTGCATGCCACCGTTGGCAAAATCACCAAAGATTGGGCAATACTGCTTCATCCTCCCTATTCCTCTTATAATTCTTCAAGTGATAAAAAATAGCGTTGGCCAACCACACGATCACATGCACAAGAGAATGGACAGTTGGAAACTCAAAATGAGGCCAGAACGGAAGCGGCTAGGGCTGGGTTGTCTGCTTCTGTGAGCAAAAGAGATGCGAAGGAATCCCAAATCTTGTTAATAAAAAAAGTGGTAGATTGTGCTGGAACGACTAACTTTGTTTTTCGTGTTGTCTTTACTCGAGTTGGTGATGCTCTCGACGCGGCTCAAATTAGAAGAGCTTGGCGACCAAGTATGGTTATAAAAACTGTCGATGGTCCTCTACCTGTTGTGCAAACTGTGCGAAGGAGGAGTTGTACTAACATTTTTCAAGCCTCCCAGTCAATCGGAATCCCATCGTCATG